AGTAAATCATCATACAGAAGATCTTCCTCTCTGTCTCTCCTCCTCTCTGTATATCCGACATTCAAATAAAAAATGAAGAAATCTTTAAAAAGAAGAAAATGGCAGTCACTGAGATAGGAATACCTAGAGACAAGCAATTCTGAGGAGGCGGTCATGCCCTTGGGTCTTTCAGGGATTCCACAGATTGTCACAATCCCATTTTTTACCCTCAATTCTGTTTCTGTGAGATGATTTTCTCTGGTCATCATCAGTGCTTATTCTTGCTTGTAGGACTGAAACTACATAGAAAACATTCTTGGGCCCGGCATGATGGCGCAAGTGGTTAAGGTCCTCGCCTTGCACGCCCGGAATCCCATATGGGCACCGGTTCTAATCCCGGCAGCCCCGCTTCCCTTCCAGCTCTCTGCCTGTGGCCTGGGAAAGCAGTAGAGGACGGCCCAAAGCTTTGGGACCCTGCACCTGCATGGGAGACCCCGAAGAGGCTCCTGGCTTCGGATCAGCATAGCATCGGCCGTTGTGCTCACTTGGGGAGTGAGTCATCGGATGGAAGATCTTCCTCTCTGTCTTTCCTCTCTGTATATCCGCCTTTCCAATAAATATAAAGTAAATCTTAAAACAGAAAGAAAATATTCTTGATATAACGATTCTTACATATGTCTTTTAAAAAGTTTTATTTATTTATGGATTAGAAAGGCAGAGTGATAGAAAGACAAAGGACTCTTTCACCCGCTGGTTCATTCTCTAGATGGCGGCAACAGCTGGACTGGGTCAGGAGGAATACAAGAGCTAGGAAATCCATACAGATCCCCCACAAGGATGGCAAGAACTCAAGTACTTGAGCCATTGGCAGGGAGCTGAATTGGCAAAGGAGTAACCAGGATTTCAAAAGCACTTTGATATCAGAAGCAGGTGTTCCAGTGGTAGTTTAAACTGGCTGCACTACAACTTCCAACCCAAATATATGATTTTAAACCATTTTGAGTAGGAGATAACTATGCTGGCGAGTTGACTGTAAAGCTCTTTAAAACAGTGGTACAAACATTCAAAACATTATAATGAGTAGGGACAACACTGCTGCTCCATTAAAGATAAATAAATGTTAATGTACTGAGAAAAGTGGGAATCTTGACAAGGTACTGGGGGATGCGGCACATGGGATATATAAGTGGACTGAGTTAAAATAGGAACTCTGTAGGAAACTAATGGACAGGTACAAATGGAAATAGCTTTGGCAAACTAAGAGAATGCTCATCTTAGGGCACGCTTTTCTGTGCAAAGTAGAAAGCAATTCTGAGACTGATAGAGAATGGGTTAAAAGATTGAAATAGCTGAAGTGGACAGTGTGAGAGCATGCTAATTTCAGAACTTTATAGAAAGGCCGACATAAGATCCCCATGAGCCATGATGTTTTAATGTAATGAATCTTACTAGATGACTTTCTTCAGCCATGCTTACTTTCTTCAGTTCCCACAAAGAAGGTAAATAATAGTATTTACTAAGTGTTAAGGCTCACAGGAAAACACAGAGAAGGGAGGTAAGTATAGAATCAACAAACAATAAAACAAAAAATGTCCCAAGGTATCTGTACTAGGCAGAGAGAGCACAGTGGTTAAGATATCACCGTGGATGTGCTCCTCCCACACGGGTGGGGAGAGTGCCTGCATTTGGGTCCTAGCTCTACTTCCAGCTCCAGTTTCCTGCTAATGCAGACCTTGGGAGGCAGCAGGTTAGGTTGTTGGACACCTGACATCAATGCAGCACACCTGGACCGAATTCTCAAAGTCCTGATGTCCTCAACCTTGCTTGAGCATTTGGGCAATAACCCAGTAGTTAAGAAACCTCTTTCTTATGAATTATTTCAGCTGCTCCATTTCGGGTGCCATTTGCTGCTTATGGCCTGGGAAAGCAGCAGATGGTCCAAAGCCTTGAGGCCCTGTACTCATGTGTTACATGGAACCCAAAAGAAACTCTTGGCTTTGCAGCCATGAGGGGAATGAACCAGTGGAAGGAAGCTCTCTCTGTCTCTCTCCTTCTCTCTGTAACTCTGCTTTTTAAAAGATTAAAAAAAATTTTTTTTATTCGAAAGGCACTAAATAAATTCCAGGGGCATGTCCTCAATCTCAAAATTTCTAGGCTTTGAATTCTGCATGAAAAGTTACACGGTACTATGGATTCTGAGTTGAACATATTCATATGAAGGAACATTAATTTTAGAAACTGTATGTGATCTAAACGTGAACATGTACACTAACAATTCTACTCCTAATTGAAATGTTTTCATAAAACCAGAACAATTTGAACTAGAGAGAAATTCAGAGATTATTCAGTCTAATGTAGCTAGACTTAAAAAAAAAAAAAAAGTGTAGCTCCTTGGGCCAGAACAACGACTTAGTGGCTAAATTCTCACCTTACATATACCAGGTTCCTATATGGGTGTCAGTTCATGTCCCAGCTGCTCCACTTCCCACCAGGCCCCCTGCTTACAGCCTGGGAAAGCAGTGAAGGATGGCCAAAAGTTTTGGGACCCTGCACCTGCATGGGAGACCTAGAGAAGGTTCCTTGCTCCTGGTTTCCGACCAGCTCAGCTCCAGTCACAATAGACACTTGCCAAGTGAACCAACAGATGGAAGACCTTTCTCTCTATATCTCTGTAAATTTGCCTTTCCAATAAAACTAAATAAATATATTTTTTAAAAAAACAAAAACAAAGTGCAGCTCCTGATCAGCAACTTTTGCATCCTTTGAGAACTTAGCCATCTGAGTGCCAGTTGGTGCTCTGGCCACTCTGCTTTGATGCTGTTCCCTGCTGACAGCCTGGAAAAAGCAGCAGAGGACAGCCCAGGCATTGCTGGCCCCTGGGTCAGCCTGGCACTGCTCCCCCACCCCACCCAGCCCTGGCTGTTGCAGCCATCTGGGAAGTGAAACAGTGAAAGGATTTCCATGTCTGGTAACTCTTGTGTTGAATATTTTATTTTTATTTGGAAGACAGTCACAGATAAAGAAGGAAAGACAGAAAGCATTATGTTGCATCTCCTAGATCTCTCCCCAAATAGCTTCAATGGCCAGAGCTGAGAATTAGGGGCCTAGAATATTTACTAGGTGCCCCATGTGGGTGAAGGTGTTCAAGCACTAGGGACATCTGCTGCTTTAGTAAGGAGCTGGACTGGTGGTAGAGCAGCTGGGATGCAAACCGCTGCCCATATGGAATGCCAGCACCACAGGCAACAAGTGGGCCCCAAACTCCGTCAAAACAAATAATTTTCTTTTCTTTAAAAGAACAAAATAAAACAACAACAACAAAAAAAACCCCACAAGCTTCTCTGGTGCTGGAGTTTATGAACTATCAGTTTAATCCACTGCTTTCATTTGGAACTGGAACTACCGGGCCTAGTGCAATGGCTAAATTGTCTAATCCTGCTCCATCAAGTGGCAGGGTACCATGCGAGTATTGTTTGAGTCCTGGCTGCTTTTAACTCTGCTGTCACATACCACTCTACCACAAATGTAGCATTTAAGTACCAATTTATTGTCTTACAGTTCTCTAAGTCCAATATCTGCCTCATTGTGCTAAAATCAAGAGGTAAGTTTTCCCTTCTGAACACTCCAGAGGAGAACTCATTTTCTTGCCTTTTTAAACTTCTAGAAAGTCACCTATAGCCTTCACTCCTGCCACTTTGCTCCATTTCCTAAGGCAGCACGTACAGGTATAGAGTCAGAGATTTACTTTTCAAATTTTTATTTTGAAACCTGTATATATGACCAGTCAACTACATTTATTACTAATACCTGTACTACTCAGTATTATAGTGTCGCTGACACAGGCCATGTCATAGAGGAACAGGATAATACAACCTGTTCAACTACCAGAAATATCAAATTATAATAAATCATATTCACTACCCTTCTGGTTGGATTGGAAAATACTACTTGTCCATTTTAGAAAAAAAATTTATAAGCTTAAAACAGAAAGCCTTTGTAAATCTTAGGACTTGCAGAATTAGAAACAAGATACTTATAACATATTTCTTGCAACATTTTAACTATGGTCAGCTTTTAAGTGATTTACAGCATAGATTCTTTGCTATTGTTCGGGTTTGTCTTTGGAATAGGGATGTCTAGGACTTAAGAAAATGCTATAGGAAAAACCAAAGAAATTGAATTGAAATTCAATTCAAAAATTTCAGAAATTGAATTTCAGCAGACAGCCCTGGGATAACTCAATCGATTCATCTTCCATATTTTCCACGTTTTCACTCATGACAAAGTCGTAGTATTAAAAATATGAAAAGGAGACATCAATTTGATATGGTCATCTGGTCTCTGAAATTTTATGGTCTTGCAGATAAATCAGACTGATAAATGACAAAGGACTTTAACAATGCCACCCATTATTTTAAACTTCTTTAACAATGAACGGGGATCACGACGTGTGCTAAAAGTGTAATTATTTTACCTCACGTCTTTCTCGGTCGGCTATAGTTTAAACTCTACAGTCTCGTCAGAGATAAACTTACAACATTTCTGCCACAGCACCAAAATGTAGCGCTGGCCCGGCTAGGAAGTGCTCCCTCGCCACGTCTGCCATGGGGCCCTCGGAGGTCGGGATTGGGGGGCCAAACAGCTGTGAGCCGAGACGGCGCAGGGAAGGGCCGGCTCCACCGAGAGGCCGGGCATCGGGCACCGCCAGCCCGCACCCGGCCGAGCCGCAGCCCGCAGCGCCGGCGAGCAGAGCCGGGGCCCTGAGCGGGAGCCGCGCTGGGGGCGGCGGCGTCGGGGCGGGGGCGGGAGCCGGGCGGCAGCTCCACAGCGCCCGTGGGGGAGGAGCGGCGGCGGCGGAGCTGCTGTGGCGACCGACGCGAGGCTGTGGCAGAGACCCACCCCTGTCCACATGGACAGTCGCAGAGGCCTGCCCTGATGCGTTCACCCCAGGGCGGGGGTGGGCGGTAGGCCGGAGCGGAGGCCGCGGCTGCGGAAGGAGAGAGGGGTCTGGGGAGGGGGTGCGGGCCGGTCGCGGAGCTCTCGCCGCCCGGCGCGGCGGGTGCGGCCATTTTACGGCCTGGGACGCAGGGAGGCGTGTTTGTACGCTCGCCTTCATCCTCCCTTCCTGGAAGCTGCGTTCGACAGAGGCTTCTCGGGCTGCCTCGGTGGGCGGTGGATGGGGTGTCGCGGGCCGAGGAGAGCCGGGCCCGGGAAGCGCCGTCGCCGCCGTCGCCGTTCGCATTCCCCCGGCGGGGCCTGAGGAGAAGCCCAGGCCGCGCTCGCCGCCCGCCAGCCCACCGACAGGCCCGGGCGCCCGGGCCTGCTTTTGTCCGGACGTGCGAGCGCCGCCCGCCTGACGGCTAAGCCGGAGGCCTGCAACCCTGAGGCGGCTACCCTCCTGCGGCTCGGCCTCTCATCCTGGCGATCGCGAAAGTGGTGTGGGCCATGGATTAAGGAGGCGGCGGCGTGGGAGGAGGAAGATGGCGGCTGGCAAGAGCGGCGGTAGCTCCGGAGAGATTACTTTTCTGGAAGGTACGTCTATTTTTTTTTTTTTTTTTGCCTTTGCGGAGCGGCGGGTGGGGAAAACACAGGAAAACGTGACCTCCGGAAATGGAGAGATTCAGTTACCTACACTGGGAGGGTTCGGGGGGCCACGGGGGCTTGAGGGGTGGGTGATGGCGGGGAGCGAGCGTGCTGGGAGTGCGCGGGGTTCGAGTCCGCCCAGGCTTGGCAGCGAGCGGGGTTGGCCGAGGGGGCGCCGCTGGATCCGGCGGCGAGCGGGAGTTGGTGGGCGTCCTTTGAGAGTGCGCATAGAAGTCCGTGAGATTTTTTTTCACCCCCGTTTGGCAGTGGGCTAAAGATGAGAACAAGCTACTCTCGTAAAGTTTCCAGGGGCTAAGGCTGGGAGGAATTGGGGGTCAGTCGGAAAGAAGGGTAGCGGTCATGGTCATTCTCGGGATAGGTTTTGTATCACTTGTACTTTTCTGTTTCTATGGAGCTCCAGGTTTCCTTTTGCAAGCCAGCGTTCAGATAAGTCCAGGCCTTGTTTGATGTTAGCAGAGCACATTTCCAAAGAATATCTTCTACAATTACATGTGGGGGGGGGGGGGAGGAATGGGATTCACAGTATCAATTTTGGGACAGTTAGTAAAGCTAAATGTAATAGACAAAGGTTGGGTGTTTCCGTTTTTATTTACTTGGGAGGAAAGTTAAACATTGACTGCTAAGTGTGAAGTGAGAATGTTTCTGTTGGGGTTGGTGGCAGTGGGTTACAATATTGGCATTTTGCCCGCCAAACTGTAAAGAACCCCCAGCACCACCACCGCAACACAGCTAGCCTTGGTAGACTAAGAACTGCAGACGTTCTTGCTTTAAATGACTGTTGTGGGTTCCATGTTTACACTGGTAATTGAGTATAAATAGGATGTTTAGGAAAATGAGGCTGTGTGCAGTGTTTTTAAGAAGAACCATTCTGGGTAATTTTGCAAACTTGATTTTCATATATAGGGTATCATAAGAGATACTTGTAAAAAATAACCACTTAGAAACATGGAATCTAAAAACTAAATTTAAAGCATCTTAGTGGTAGCATCTTGGAGGGAGAGTGTGCAGGGTATTCCTTACTGCTTTGTAATGAGCACCTAGAACAGTGCCTGGAACGTAGGAGGTCTTCAGTATTTAATGAAGAAATAGGGACCATTCCTACTTGAGCGTAGTGAAATGGAAGGTGGAAATCTTTCTTCTGTGTACAAGGCCTATCTTTAAAAGTGGTAAAGGTTAATAAGAAATTCCTAGTAAAAGGAAAGCTTGTGAGTTCATTTCCAATTGCTTCCATTGTGGTTTGCACAGAATAGGTACCTCTCTGGCTGAAAGTGACACGTGTTGTGTGGCAGGAAATGCTATGTATGTTGTGTTTTAGTTTTGAAATTGGAGACTAAGAAGTTGCCTTATTGCTGCTGGTGCCACGTGTGCAGAATGTACTTGAATGCCATGGTAAATTTGGGGATTTTATTGGCTTTTGATTCAGCTTCAGTTCTAATGGATGCACATAGGAAAAATCAGAAGAGCATACATAAAGCCATCAAATTCAGGGATAATGCAGATTAAATATTTTGGTTTTAGTGTATTCTAACTTAAGGATCTATGAGTGTGCAGGTGTGAAAATTTTGAGTTTCAAACAGTTTTTGTATACTATGTAGAATCTTCCTAAATAAAACATAATTTTTGTGTTATTCGGTTTTTTGTGATTTGTTTCAGTCCTTACACTTTTATATTTTGTAAGTTTTCAAAGTATTTTTTGTATTACACTTTTACTTCTCCAGTGGGATTGTTGAAAAGCTGAAACAGATTTTCATTTATTCACAGATGCTTACCCTTCCAAGCCATTGTATCAGGGTGACTACAGCAGTGCATGAGGTAGTCAAAGTTCCTGCCTTCATAGAACTTGCATTTGGGCAGGAGAGACTGTCAGTAAATAAGTTAGAACAAATCCACTTGAAACAGTCTTACCAGACCCTGTGTGACAGCTCAATCAGCTGATTTTCCCCTTGCAAGAGCCAGGATCCCAAACGGGTGGGCACTGGTTTGTATCCAGGCTGTTCTGATTCCCATCCAGCTCCCTGCTGTGGCCTGGGAGAATAGTAGAGGATGGCCCAAAGCCTTCGCACCCTACACTTACATGAGAGACCCCGAGGAGGCTCCTGACTCCTAGTTTCAAATCTGCACAGCTTCAGCCATTGTGGCCATTTGGGGAATGAACCAAAGGATAGAAGATCTTTCTGTTTCTCTCCTTCTCTGTAAATCTACCTTTCCAAAAAAAAGCAATAAATCTTTTAAAAATATATAAAAGTCTTACCCCAAATTCTCTTACCCCAAATTCTCTTACCTCTCCGAACCAAATCTGCTATGATTCAATCTACATAAATTGTCATTGTGTTCCCTTAACATTCAAATGAACACACATAAGCAACACTTGATGTTACCTTTGTGTGTGTGTGTGTTTTAAGATTTTTATTTGAAATGCAGAATTCTGTAGAGAGAAGGAGATGCAGAAAAATCTTCCATCCACTGGTTCACCCCCTAAATGTTCGCAATGGTCAGAACTGGGTCAGTCTGAAGCTAAGAATGGGAATTTTTTCTGGGACTCCCATGTGGGTGCAGGTGCTGAAGAACCTGAATTCCCAGGTCATTAGCAGGAAGCTAGATCAGAATTAGAGCTGTCAGGACTCAAACCTGTGCCCGTATGGGATACTGGCACCACAGGCAGAGGTTTAGCTTGCTGTGCAGTGACACCAGGCCCCCTCTTTTGTTTTTCATAACATCACTTATCACTCAATTAAGTTATGAAGTTTTTCAGCTAAACATACTAAAATATAAAATCTGTGAAAACATTGCTTCTATTTTTGTTATCTTTTTTTTAAAGCATTTAATTTGTTTTATGATGCGGTTTCATAGACCCTGGCCCTTAACCCTTCCCATATCCCTTCTTGCCATTGATTTTCCTTATATTACTACAACACTATAGACATTCAGATATAGTTGCGAGTCTATCATTGTGCTATTTATGTATTTATTTCCTGATATTGTAGGTATGGACAATGGCAGAGTGTCCAGCATCCTATTGTCAAGATATATTTAACAGTTTCATTGGGGATCCATCTTTGATTTGGAAGTAGAGATGCATATTGCATTGTATCTTCATATCTGGATATGATAGTCTCTGTTATACAGTTTCTCTAGATGACTATATATGTACGTGCGTATTTACCAATATATTTGCTGATCTTATATTTTTCATGAAGGTTGCCATATATATTGTTACCTTTTTAAAAAATTATAAATTTGAAAGGCAGTGCTGGAGGTGGCAGGGAAGAGAGAGACAGAAGAGACTGACATTTTGAGATGTTCCAACTGCTGGTTCACTCCCAAGTGACTGTCTCAGCTAAGGCTGGGCCAGATGGAAGCCAGTAGCCTGGAGCTTCTTTCTGGTCTTCTACATGGGTACAGCATGACAAATATATGGGCAGTCTGTTGTTTGTTTTGCAGGTGCGTTAGCAGGGAACTGGATTAGAAGTGGAGTGGCCAGGGATGCTAACATCACGGGTGGCAGCTTTACCTGCTGTGCTACAGTGCCAACCCCACAATGAACTAGCCAAGAAGAGTAAATCAGAATATTGTAGCTGCCTAGACAGGGTAGAGGCTTGGGGCACAAAGAAGGTTGGGGAAGAGAAGTATGTATAGGTTGATGGTAAACTTGAATAAAAAGCTTATGAAACTTGATGATGGATTGTATATTGAAGATCAGAGTAATAGAGAAGTAAAAAATGACCCATAGGAGTTTTAGCTTAATACGTCAGGAGGTCATATTTACTCATAGTGTAGACTGTCAGAGAAATACAAAGGAAAAGCACTGCCTGCTTGGGTTGAGATGCCTTTGAAAATATGCTTTTCTTTGTTCTAAAGTATGTTTCATAGCTTTAGATGCTAAGCAAAATTCTAATTCTGTTTTCGTTAGGCTTTTTTAGAGAAAAGGCCTACTGGCTACTGTTGTACCTTCTTTGTTTTTATAATACCGCAGCAAAATGTCATGAATTTCATTAGGCTGCAGCTTGTGTTGAAATTTTATTTTCCTGTTCTTTTTCATGTATTCACCTGTTTCCACTGGTAATTGATGGTTTAGGATGGTTTCTCTTTGTTCATTCATTCATGTGACAGTTCTGTGTTGTAGGTACTGCACCAGTGGACACAGAACTGAGGGGGGAAATATGGTTTCTCCATGGTCTAGTGAGGAGAATTAATATTTGAGTTGCAATTGTCCATGTAATATCATGCTTGCGGAGCATGAAAAGTGAAATTGTCTGTAATAATTAGGGTTTTATCTAATAACACAGTTTTAAAGGTGAATAAGTAGGACCAATTCTGTGGCATTGTGCTGGTTCCAGTCCCAACTACTCTACTTTAGATTTAGCTCCCTGGGCCCGGCAGCTTGGCCTAGTGGCTAAAGTCCTCACTTTGAACGCGCCGGGATCCCATATGGACTCCGGTTCTAATCCTGGCAGCTCCACTTCCCATCCAGCTCCCTGCTTGTGGCCTGGGAAAGCAGTCGAGGACGGCCCAAACCTTTGGGACGTTGCACCCGTGTGGGAGACCCAGAAGAAGTTCCTGGATCCTGGCTTCAGATTGGCATAACACTGGCCATTGCGCTCATTTGGGGAGTGAATCATCAGAGGGAAGATCATCCTCTCTGTCTCCTCCTCTCTGTATATCTGACTTCCAATAAATAAATAAATCTTTAGATTTAGCTCCCTGCTAATGTACATGGAAAAGCAGCAGAGATGGCCCAAGTGCTTGGGTCCATGTGCCACTGTGGGAGACACAAGGAAAGCGCCTGACTTCTTTCTGTAACTCTGCCTTTCAAATAGATCTTTCAAAAGGAAGGAAGGCGAAAGGATGAGGAGGAAGCAAAAAGTTGAATAGGTGAAGTAAGGGATGAAAAGACTTTTCGGGACAGGGAATAAAATAGAGAAAGCATG